CAGGGATCAGTAATTTTCTGAAAAAGGCAATTTCTCAGTTAAGAGTTTATGGGTGGAGATGAATACCTGAAGAAAATATATAACCCTGTAGGAAAGACTTTCTTTGACTGCATCATATGAAACCAACTGGTTATTGCCACATGTTAAACGGTCTTATATGTTGGTGAATGAAAAACCAGATAAGGCACTTACCAATGAGTATGCCTGCAGAAGCTTCCAGAGAAGCGCAGCAGAAAAGGCTGCAGAATAAAATACACAAATGGGTATGTATATATGGTAAGCAAATTAAATTCAGTATCCAAGCTCATAGTTTACTTAATATATCCATCACTTAACACTGCGAATGGAATAAAGAATTATACAGTCAACCATGAGGTTATTGTGTACAAGGTTTCAGGTGTCGAGATGATCTATGCTTGCTCATATCACATAATTGCAAGCATTTCTTTTGTAAATTCAATTTCATATATACATAAACATCCTAATTGAAACACATGGATATTAATGATAGTGATTTAGGCAATGGCCTGGGCACCTAAACAATAGCTAGAACAAACATTAGATTTAGTCACTTCATTTCTAGATTAGTACATGAAGAATGTGCATGGTTCCATACTATTACAAAACTATTAACACTTCAGCATAGCTCAGCTTCTGTTTTTGTAATACGGACATTAAAATATCCAAGAGTACTTCAATGATATTTTACATCAAAAAATTACAATATATGAATATATACACATGAAAGCATAGGTGAATGTACTGCACATATACATATATTTAAAATCATAAATGAACATATGTTACACATGTGTGTAACATATATAAAGGCTTGTCTTTTTGGGTACAAGACCATTTCAGCAAACTATTGGAACGTGCGTACCAGTTTATACCAGTATATTGACACACAGTATGCTTGTGCATATCAGCGGCTCGGCGATGAAGAAAAAGAAAGAGAAGTGGAAGTAGTGATAGAGGAATAGACGAAGGAAGAGGGAAGAAGAGGAAGAAGTGAAGGAAGAAGAAGAAAGAAGAGGAAAACAGCAGCAGCAGTGTACCTAGGAAGCAATCACAATGATAGCGAGATGGTGCCATCTTACATGACTACGAAGCGACAACGGCGGCAATGGGGAAGCGATGACGATGAGGTGGCAACATCTTACGCGAGGGCAAAGCAACAGTGGCAGCTAAGGCGAAGCAATGATGGCAAGGCGACAACACCTTATGCGAGAAGAGGGCTCATGTTCGCGAGCTCTAATCTCTTTTTTTTTTTCTTTTTTACGCTGAATTAGAAATGTGCACCACCCGGAACAAGGTGGTCTGCGTACCAGTCCCTTATCAGACCAATACCTACCACCCATACCGGGCGATATACCATGGCACGAATAACCATATATATATATATATATATATATATATATAGAGAGAGAGAGAGAGAGAGAGAGAGAGAGAGAAGAAAAAATTATAAATTTGTATATATTCCAAGCAAGGACTTGATGCCTACCCTTATTTACCACCCATGTGCTAGCTAGCCTAGGCAATCATCCATGCCTAAGCATTTGCCACACATTTCCTAGGGCAAATAAACACTAAATTTAAAAACTCAATAATGTCCTAATTGGGAATTTTGAGACATTTAGTAGAAAAAACTAAATTATAGGAGTTTTTCCTTTATAGTGAACCATAGAAAAATACATGAAAAGACTATTAAGTGTACAGGTATTCATTCTTTAATAAAGAAACTGTGATACATACCTGCTTGACCCAAAATAAATGGTAAGCTGGATCTTCCAGTCCTCCAAACCTTTAGGCTAAGTACACTCAGTGCCAATATAGCACCACCATAAATCATGGCCGTGGCATTTCTAGAGAAAATAAACCCAAGCAGTCCTCCAGCAAATAGAAGCCCACCTATAACAGAAATCATCAATCATCAGAAAAAAATGTAGCTTACGATCTTCACATCACCATAATATTAATATTAAAAAAGGGGTGGCCCAGTGCACTGGCTCTCACCACAATATTCATACTCAGATTCCCTGAATACTTCACTGAAACATTGAACTGTAAATAGCAAATAATGGATACTTTTTCTCCACAAAAATAAGGTCATACTCGAAGCGCAACAGCAGGAACCACGAAGAGTCTTACAAGGAAGCAACATATAAAATCATGAAACCAACAATAAACTTCCTTTTGTCATCATGCAATTTTAATGTATCTTCATGTTTGAACACTAGCATCTTCATTCTAGTAGAAACAATAATTCAACATTATGACATAAAGAAACAAACAGATACCCGAGGACATGTGACACCCAAGCAGCATGATTATTTTATGAATAGGCACATCTGTTACCAGGGAAAGATACATAACCACCTTGACAGATAGAAGTGATAAGCAACTGTTCCTTCTCTTGCTTTAGATGATCTAGATTTAAGCAAGAAGTTATTTTAAGAATAAAACGAGCCGTGAGCAAGAGAACGAGTGAGCAAGAGAGAGAGAGAGAGAGAGAGAGAGAGAGAGGCACAGTGATGTTATATTTAGCAAACCAAAGATAATGATTACTGTTGCTACTACATAATGGAGAACAGAGAATTCACAATTTCCATAGATGCAAAATTGACATGTCAAAAAATAATTCCAATTCTCATTTCATTATATATCAGTGTAACATCTGTAAATACCATGTAATTCCTTGCCAATTAATACACATAAGAAGAGGACGAGAAATAAATCCTCAGTCAAAAGTAGATAGAAGGCTTTGCTTTCCCAAATCAAACTGAAACATTAAACAAATGCCAAGATGCATCAATTACCAAGAAACAAAACATCCAACTCAATCATTTCCTATCTGACAACCCATGATAAGCAGAAATAAGCTCAACATTCTGATTTGAAGTTTGGGATTGGCTTACCAAAGGGGATTCCGAAGCAAAAATCATGTATTTTTGCACTTCTTTTGGTTGGGACTACAGCCTCCTCTTGTACGTGCGCGTCCATATCCAATTTCTCATTGATGGATTTCACAGTTGGATTAGTTTTAAGAGGTTCATCAGCTTGATCTGGCTTATCCTCCGCATATCTAGTAGCAGCATTGGCGACAATACTGCTTCTAGGACTACTTCCATTAAGGCCCATAGAGACTGTAAGCTGTAAAATGAAGAAAAAAGTCAGAATTCAACGCACAGAAGCTCTCTACTACCCAAAATGAGTATAGCTTAAATTCAAACCTTTCTGCCACTGATGTTGGAAACCCTAATGGCAGGGACTTTGAAGTAGTTGCTTTTGAGATCTGGGGAACCAGAAGAAGCAACCCTAGGCCACAACGGCAAAGGGCGAAGCCCCTCCAAGGATCGCATGCTCCATTTCGCCGCCAATCCAGACCCATAAAGCTGCGAGACGGCCATCGATCTGCAGGTTGAAGATATCACCGGATTCAACGCATATCAAGCAGATCTAAAGAAAAAGGAAAAGCAGGCAAGACGATCGAGATCACGAGTAACGAAAGGAAATATCGAGATTTGTGCATTCTCGTGGATCGCGAAGAGCGGTTGGTCGCTGGTTGCCGAGGAGGGAGAGTAGGAGACGCACCAACGATGGGGCGGCAGCGGTCGTAGCGGGCGGGGGTCCACGAGTCGGGAAGCCGCAGCCGGGCGGGGCGGGGCGTGGCGTGGCTTGTGGAGGCGAGGCGCCGCGATGCAACTGCCCGGGCAAGGGGGAAGGAAGCCGGCGATCGTGGGTCAAGGGAACCGTGGCAGCCGAGGTGTTTGGAGACGAGAAGCTTTGAGCCGACTCGAAGGTGGGGTCGTTGGGAGCCCGTCGTCCCCTTGCTTCGACTATTTCTTGCGCCGAGTGGACGACGCGAAACGATGGGCATTTCGGCCATTTTGGTCCGCGGAATCCGACCATCGACACGATGAAACCGGTGGAATTAGACCCGGTTTGACACGCGCAATCATGAGCCGGAAGAAAACGACGGTTCAACTGAACCGGTGCGGCTTTATTATAAGCCGAACTGAGAGGGGGGTTTCTTTCCCGAAGTACCTATGAGTAGATTCAGACTTCAACAGAGAAGCAAAGAATGATCTAAATGCTGTGGAGGAGCCTCCCGCGATCTATCGTATCGGCATTGGAACTCTGCCCTAAAACCTGAGATCTGCCACCTCAGGCGTCGCCTCGACGCCTGCCGCGGCGCCTTTGTCGCTCTTCTCTTTCTCCACCCTCTCCGTGATCTTTTCCCGTGCAGATCGCCGCCCCGGCACCGCGCTTGCTGCCGTCAGCCTTTCTCTGCCATCCCTTCCCTAACTAGCTGCTGCGCCCAAACCACTTTTCGCTCTTCCATCGTTTACACAGTCGCTCTCAACCCCCGGTGGCGTTTTTGGTAAGAGGTCAGGTAGAACAGTAAAAAGTTTTACGATTAGTAAATAAAATTTGTTGAATTTTGATATTAAAATAATCCTTTAATTTCAAGATGGTGATGCATGGATTATAGTGTTATTTTAATTAGTTTAAGCTTGGATGATTATTAGTAAAAACTAATTGATGGGACTTATGAAATCTACGCTATTATATCTTAAATCGAATTATTTTAAGGTTGATTTAATTGTTAAAATCCTAATTCCGGATTAGAATAATAGTTCTATTTATTTGGTTAGGCGCATCTCTATTTCATGGAATTATGTGTGAATTTTCATGTTATATTTACGTTTAAATTTGGGATTATGAATTTATTATAACTTTTAATTCATTGAAAACAGTTTTTAAATTAAATTATTTAGAAGTCTGTTTTGATTAATCTTGTATTTCTGAAAGCTTTGCATTTTCTAAATGCTTATTCTGATAATTGGTTTATATTCTTGCAAAATTTTCAAGTTATTTTGAGAGAAGAGAACTAAAATCTAATTTAAGAAGGCTGATCGGTCGGATCGGGTGAACCGAGCCCGAGTCAGGCTCGGTCCAGGTTGGCCTTGAGCGCTGAGTCAGTGGCTCAACGGCTTGAGAGCCACAACTTGTGCAGTCAGCGGGCCGGCCTAGACTAGACCCGTGTGACTTGACCCAGGCTTACAATTCAGTATGGCACGACCCAGCTTGGGATCCAATGCAGTCTGCCATATTGGCTTGGCGTGGGCCAGCATGGCCCAATGCTTGAGGCCCATGCATGGCCCGATGCCAAGGCCCAGCCCGCCACCTCTTCTGTTTCAACATGCTCCCCTCCCAGTAATCCTAGCAACATCCATTGGTGTGATCCCAAAGAAAGAAAGAAAAGCAGCATCCATTATAGTAAGGCAACTTTGGTTGAATCATGCTGTATTGTTTTGCCTTACTCGGTTCAAAGAATTTATTTAGAGAAATTGAGAATTGTATATAAATACTTACCTAAGGTCTGTTGATTTCAAGAAATAAATCATTTACTGTTGCACTGTAGATATGGAGCAACTGATACATCGAGTTGAAGAATGGGTTCGTCAGCAACCCATTGAGCAAATCTATGTTGCTTTTGCTGTTCTAATCTTCACAATTTCTTTCTTTGGGTTGTGTAAGTCCACTCTACCTTGATTCTATCTTTTTCATGTTCTTGTGCATATCTGGGTGCGTAAATACATTCTACCCTACTTTTATGATTTTCATGTTCTTTATTAATGTTCTGCATGCTTAGAAGTAGCAACAAGAGGGACTAGGTCTATCTAGTGCAAGTTGTGCTTCTTAACAGATTCTGCAAACAGTTTTCTGGAAAAAAATTGTCTATGATTCTTCATAGGAGGGTAATGGTGAAGAAACATTGATGGCATATCTAAACATGTACAATATTTTTCAGCATATTATTGCAAGTGTAGGTGATGCATGTGAAGAACTAAAAAGTTTGTTAATGTATATTTTTTTTAATCCCAGTTCGTGTCCTGAGACGCTCAAAGTCCAATACCATACTGCTTGCTGGCTTAAGTGGTAGTGGAAAAACTGTTCTTTTTTATCAGGTATATTTTTAAATTTGTTTGTCCATTGATCTGAAAATCTTGCTTGTTTCATGTAAAGAACTGTTCTTGTTAACTTGATATAACCATTAAAGTCTTTGTTCTCTAATTAACTGAAGTATGAACTTATCATTGTATAATGCAGGTCGGTTGGGTTTTTATTATTGGTACTTGATAGTGATTTCAATTTCAGCCTTCTGCAAAGTGATATAGTTCTGCAATTGGCAATTTTAATAGCATCTATAGTTTTGGTAATTTTGATGGAGCTTTGACTAATCATAACAATCTAATTTTTGAAGTAAAATAATTCATAAATGAATATATTTTAATGATACCGGATCAGTTCATTGGTTGGTTTTGTTAATTTCAGCTAGAACAACAATATCTGAATCTATAATCTCAGAGAAGGTTGTGGATCTGAATGCTTGATCCTTATTGGGATTGGGATTGGCCAAAACTAAATATTAATGGTGCAAAATTTTGTTTGAAATAAATCTCACTTGCAATTGAAACATTTTTAGCAGTCAACTATAATTACTTTTATGGCAATGATCTTATAACTATGGACTCCAAACAAGGGAAACGATGAAGCATGAACTTCAGAGGCAAAAAGGAAAAGAAAAAAATTTTAAGGTTACTGTGGTTCATAACATAAACTTATATTTGTTAAGTCGAGCATCGCACTCCCCCAGGAAGCATAGTGGTTTATTGTAGTCTTTGACATTCATGGAGTCCAACAATACACCTAATTTATCGACAATAAAGTAATCCCGTTTCTTTGACATTCATGGCTTATTTAAGGGTCATAACCATAGATGATGTTTATTGACGAAGTTTAGGATTTATGTGTTCAAACTTCAAACACAAAAAATCTTTTGTCAATATTTCATTTATTCATGTTGAAGTTACAACTACTTTGAGAAGTTTGTTAAACAAGTTTCTGTCTGTATAAAGCAAGTATAACAAGATTGAGTTAAAAGCAAGTAGACCTAACTATTAACCATATGCATCCAGGAGCAAAGTTGACTTTTCCGTTCCACATTTTTATGGGCATAGGCCCATGATAATTGTATTATGCCAAACTTGTTTGGACAAAGTAAACAGAGCTTTTGTCTAATTGATAAGTGGGGGGCTGGGTCATCATATTCTTTTTTATGTTGAATGTTTCTTATAATTATTTACCTTACATAGTTCAGGCTTTCACAGCAACTAAAATGAAACACTATGTAAATATTCCTGTTGCAAGCAGCTCAATATTGGTGACACCTTGTGGCTGTTCTGCATAAATCATAATAACAAGCTAATATAGTTACAATGATCAATATGCTGAATTTGCTGTTGCTTGTCAAAGCTAAAAGGGGAAGTTTGAAGTTCCTTTGATTTCACCATTCAATATGATATTATGTAACTAATGCAGAAAAGAACCAGATTTGTTCTATTCATTGTTCAGCTTTCTGATACTACTGTATGTCGTTGTTACTATACTAGCTTCGTGATGGCTCTCCACATCTAGGTACTGTCACATCAATGGAACCCAATGATGGTACTTTTGTGCTGCACTCTGAGCTTGAAAAGGTAACAGTTCAGGCACTTAGTACTGTTAGGTCAAAGCATGCCATAATGCTGTTATGATGATTCAAAGTTCATGTCGAAACCATCTTCCTTTTTGTATGTGCACAGAATGGAAAACTAAAGCCGGTGCATTTGATTGATGTTCCTGGGCATTCCCGACTCAGACCAAAGCTTGATGAATTATTGCCTCATTCAGCAGGAGTCATTTTTGTCGTGGATAGTTTGGACTTCTTACCGAACTGCCGAGCAGCTGCTGAGTAGGTCACTAACCTACTTATTTCCGATGCAAATTATTGATTTGCTTATTTATTTTGAATTATATAGTTTCGTGTATTATTAATAGATGATGATTGTTATAATCATTATGTTTTCTTCCTTGTATCTACTTGTTAACAGACCTTTATTTATGAATTACTATGATAATAATCTTTTGTATATTTGCGCGATCTGCAAGGTACTTGTATGATATACTGACAAAGGCAATCATCGTGAAGCGGAGAATACCCATGTTGATACTGTGCAACAAGGCAGATAAGGTGACGGCACACTCCAAGGAATTTATCAGGAAACAATTGGAGAAGGAAATGTAAGACCTTGAATCTTCTCATTGTTCTGAAGTTGTCGTATGATATTGAAGTTTCATAAATAACATAGTACTTGACTGATATGTTGTTTGTGCAATAAATGTTGTTTTGGCATGACCTAATACTTACCACACGAAACATCCACAATATGTTAGAAAAGTTCCACATATTTGTGTTGTTTCCTCTTTCATTTTTCCATGCTTTCTTTCAATTGCCATGATAGAAGTTCTGTTTTGATTTTTCACCAAATTAGATGCATGATAAGTCATGATCAGGGCATCTCAATCTTGGATGAAAGGCAGTATTGTTTTGAATCTACATGTTATTGGTTCTCTATTTATCCTTCTTAGTTGTTGCAAGACCAGTCATTGTTTCTAGTACTGTATATCTCGTATCACTGCTTCTTTGTTAATGATATATTTTTTAGTGGTAATATTATGATTCCTCTAATTGCAGGTGACATTTTTGTTTCTTTTTAATATGAACAAGAATGAGAACTGGGAAATAAATTTTTTAAATATATGTTTCGGATATTTAACCCCAATTTCTTTTGTATAGGACCAAATTGAGTCCTTTCCTATATTTGATCATGACTCCTCTCACCAGGCCTTCTGTTCAGCATTGTGAAGTTTTTTTCTAGACGCTTACGTCGATCCACAAGAGTTGTCGATTTTGTTCCGTACTGTTGTTTTCTGTTTAATCAGAGGCCCTGATCTGATAGAATTTGATATCGTCAGCATCTTTTTTGCATTCCATAACCGTATGTTCTCTTTGGTGTCAGTATAGAACATTATGGCACTTTTTCTTTTTTTTGGCAGAGACAAGCTTCGTGCATCAAGAAGTGCAATCTCGACCGCTGATATAGCCAACGACTTCACTCTCGGGATACCAGGAGAAACATTCGCATTTTCTCAGTGCCGGAACAAGGTGACAGTGGCCGAGTCATCTGGGCTGACCAGAGAGGTCTCTCAGGTCGAGCAATTCATCAGGGAGCTAGTGAAGCCATAACCGTGGCTTCTCTGTTAAACTTGGTAATCGATTGTACGTGACATTCTCGTTGGCCTTTTTTCCATGAGATGCTGAGACCCTAACACACGAATGCTGCTTTCAACTCGAGATGAGGATTTGTAGACAATTTTGTTGACATCAGAAATCATATTTTAATGATGCAGAAAATTACTGTCATCCATAGCTTATTTGAATTTTCTCTGCAATCGTTGTGAATTAATTTTAGAGTATCTATCTTAAGCTCTGTGGTGTCTCTAATTTGTTGAAGTAGGACAGTGAGTTGGTTTCCTCGGAGGTCTCTAATTTGTTAGAAATCATATATGATTTATCTCGTTGCGGGTGCTTCATGAAGTGGATGATACCAATGATTTTGACAAGTTGGTTCGCGGGGCTAGCTATAGTTTTATGCTTCAGTAGATTACGTTTTTGGTGGAAGCTCGAAACATTGAGATGGGAGGGTTAAATAACAGTCTTTTTCACCCCTTATGTTAGCAGAGGGTATTTAAAAAAATTTACATTATGATCTTTATAATCTTAAAAATAAAATAAATAATTTTATTTATTCTAATGACATTAGTTATATTGATAAAAAAAATTAAAATTATTTTTTTGATATTATGTTTTTCATCAATGTAATTAATAACGTTAAGATAAATAAAATTTTAAAAAAATTAATATAATTTTTTTATATATAAAGATCACGATACTAATAGATAGAATCAATGAGAGATAATATATAATTAACCCAACCCACTGATAGAACTGATCTTGCAAAAGATTACTTAGAGACTACTGAGCACATCCACCATCTGATAGTATCTATCTAAATTAAATTTGGTAATATGCTGGATTATCTCGACATAAACCAACTAAACACACTAAAAAATTATAGCAACCATAAAGAAATTACACTAACAGAGTTGAGTCATGGGGCATAAACAATAAAAGAAACTATTGAAATAGAAGCATTTAAAATGTTCGGTTCCTTAGGATGTATCATTGTAAGATAGGCGACTACAATAACATTCCCCCCCTCAAAAGCAACTCAACAAGAGTGCGTGCAAAGAACATGAAGGCCCTTTCATGTTCACACAACAGTGTTGAAGACGGTCTTCAAAGAGTAGCAGGTCCTGGCAGGCCAAAGAAGCAGAGTCTTAATCGATCTTGACGGAGGAGAAAAGATAGTGGACAAAATAGAATGACATCAGAAAGCCGATGGTGCCGGTGGATAACATGATTGCAGTAGCCATGATCAGTGAATAACCCAGGTAAAGGATGGCTGACACCGGCCCACTCAAGCTCCTTAGGTCAAACACCAAGTAGTTGATGGAGTAGAGGAACACATAGAGCGCAACAGAACCAGAGGCGAAGAAAGCCTTCCACCACCACCTCCAGTCCTCCACGCAGAGGTGCATATAAGTCAGGACGACAGATACTTCAGCACAGACGATCACCAGCAGCAGGAAGACGACGAGAAGGAATCCAAACACATAGTAGAACCTCCCAAGCCAAATGCTAGAAAGGATGAAGAAGAGTTCGATGAAGAGGGTCCCAAAGGGTAGGGTCCCTGCGCCAAGGACAAGAAACCATGACGGATATTTCCGAGCAGGAATTTCTCTTGGGATTTGGTTGGTCCTGACGGGAAACCGTATTTCCTCTGCTCGGGTGCCTATGAATCCGCCTATCAGAGTCAGCGGCACTGAGATGCAGAACCACAAGGAAAGCAGAGTGAAGAAGAGCGAGATAGGGATAGCTCCGGTGCTCTTGCTTCCCCATAGTATGAAGTTTAATATTGTGAGAACGATAAAGACAATCCCCGGGAAGAAACAAGCAGTCGACCAGCAGACTGACCTCCAGCCATCAGACCCCCCTTTTATGGTCCTCCATAAAATAACACCAACATATCCAGCCACGATTCCAAGGAAAAGATAGAGAATTATCATCCCCGTCAATAGCATGCCCCGGGAAGCAGGAGACATGAATCCAAGAGCAGCAAAGACAATTGTCACAACTGCCATGCCCGTAATCTGTATGCCATCTCCAACCATGACGCAAAGCAGCTTTGAGCAGGTTGGCTCTCTGAACACATCACCCACGACAAGTTTCCAGCCAGATAGCTCTTCATTCATCTGGGCTTGTGATTCCTTGTCCAGCTCTTCGTATCTCGTTAAGTCCCTCCGAACTGTTCTCAAGAAAATAACAAAGACAATTCCAGCCAAAAAGAAGATAACCATCAATGAGTTCATGATCGAGAACCAATGAACTCTTGCACCCCCCATTGTCAGATAGGCATCCCACCGGGACGGCCATCTAATGTCACTTTTAACAAAGACAACCTCATAGGTAAAAGAGATCTTCTCTTGCTCCCGAATCGTTTGGGACTTCTCGAGCTCCAACGGGCAGTTCACAGAATCAACTTTATCATAAATGTTAAGTTTCAGCATCGCCTCTGGATCACGCTTCACACTGCAGGGAATCACTTCAAACCCAACAATCTCATATCCGGAGTTCTTAGCATCTGTCTCCGCGATCATTCCCATCCCTTCTTCCCCTGTAGTCATGATTTGCATGCCACGGCCTTCATATTCGTGAACCAACACCTTAAACTTCAAGTGATTGATGATGTATGCTTCAGAGCTTCCAGCTGGGATATAGCCAACTGGAAACCCAGTCCACTGAATGACGACTCCATTCGGCTCGGTGAATCTCCTCACAGGAAGATTGTCCAGAATCATGTTCACCTGATAGAGATCATGGGTCCTCTGCTTCAAGAGCTTAACCTCATGCTCGTTCAACGGTTTTGTGGTGCACAGGTAGAGGGACTCGTTCACATTGACACGGAAGCGATAAGGAGAGTTATCGATCTGGTCGCCCATGAGAAGCTCCCCCAGATTCTCCGCGCTCTTCTTGATCCCACTCTGTGGCTGGCAATAGGGCAGGGTGTAGTAGCCAAACGGGAGCTCGGTCTCGATTGAGGTGAGCGAATTTACTTTGACCCATATGTTCTCGCCTTCCGAGTAGGTGTGCATATAGCTACCAGGGAGATAAAACGCATTCCCCGAGCCACACAACAAAAGCACGATCGAGAAAGTCAAGAAACACAAAGAGGAAGACCTTTCTGGGTTCGAAGTTGGCCCCATCGCGCTGTGGTCACCCTCCCCTCCTCTTTATCCTTACGGCGTATCAGATCTAAGGTCTCAATCCCAACCACCTTCGGAATTCACAATATCATTCAAGAAACCTGCGGCAACCAGAAGCAGCCTTAGATCAACCGAAGAATTCGATTTCATTTATTCTTCGGCAGCCGAAGCTACGGATCTGAGTGGAAGCGAGCAACCAAATCTTTCGCGAAGATTAAAACCACTCAAAATGCCTCCCAGTCAACCAGATCCGGAGCGGAACAAGCACTCCACATCAAGCGAACTAAAAAAAATCGAAGCAGCAACGAACACAAGCTTATCTTCCCAAACAAAAAACAACAGATCCGGATCTCGAATGCAGATCTAACGCAGATAAAACGCCAGAATCCAATCTTTCAACAGGAGAAATGCCCTGAAACCGCGTGACGCAAAGCCAATCGCACAGATCTGGGAGTAGACAGGGGAGATTACCTCATCATGGAAGCTTAGGGAAGCGGCACGACTTGCGAAGGAAGGAGAGCCTCTTCGATGCCTCTCTCTCGCCGCTGAGATCGTGGAGCGCAAAGGGGGTCGAATCGAAGCAGAAGGGGTTGGCCATAAATAAAGCCGGGATGAGACAAGTAACAGCGTGCGTAGAAGCACCACCGCCTATGTTCATCTTTTATGGGCTTGGGGTCAGCCCGGCCCATTTACTCCCCTTCAAATGTCGATTGGTTAAATCGGATCCGGAAAGGTCGCGGGTAGCGCACCCGTTGACAATAACGGGTTACAATTCGGTCGACTCCATACCCGTTTGTCTGTATCGTCAAAATGCAAACAGGAGGAGCAATTTCCAACGCATGCGCTGCTTGACTTCTTGCCTTCGGCTGTTCACCCTGACTTGCCTCAGCATGCGAGCATGATGAGGCCCATGGCGTTGACTCTTTCCTCGCATGCTGAGGCCCATGACGTTGACTTTTTCGTTTTAGGTAATGATTTCTCAGCTTTTGATTTATTATTTACTTGTGTTTTCATCTTTTTATCTGTTTATTTACATGCTTTTGATGATGATGCCTTGGCCCCATGGAATTCTGACTACCATTTCAGGTCTTCTCCACTTTGAATCGGTAAACAGTACGTTCATCGCAGGCCGGCCTTTCCTCTATGCTCTTTCCAAGATCTTCCTATGAGCTCTTCAACCAATGTGCCATGCAGGTTGAACAGCATATATTTTTTCCCTTGACAGTGGCAGCGATTGTTTATGGGGGAGGCAACTTTCCTGACCCTGTCAAAGGGGATGCTACATTGGCCAAGACAAATATTTAAAGCTGTCACTGCTATCAGAGGACATTGCCTCCTCTTCATGACATCAACAGTGGTGGTTGCTCTGCTCGATGCCATCTCTGAGGGGATCACATGAAGGAGTGGGATTGGCATCGGAGACCTTAAGCTTTTTGTTGGCATCCGCTGGTGTCTCACCGTGTTGGAGTCCTGAGCATGTCAAACGTCTGACCTGTATAAATGGTCAAAGTTTAATTGGAGAGACCTGTGACCATCTTCAAACATGGTGCCCACTCTGAGGAAAATAGCAAGTTCACATGCTCTATAGCCCTCTTTCTCTAACATGCTTCCTTAAGATACTTGTAACTTTGTTTATGATGTACGGCATATCATATAAGTTAAGAAACCTTTTTCCATGTTCTTCACTTATATATTCCCGAAAGCTAACAAATATCATATTCTTATGGCTACAATTCCTACGTTGTTTTCACATATTTTAATAAAATATTCTAAAACAAAGGAAGCTTCAAAATTAATGAATATGTGATGTTATCAAAAGTTAATAAATGTATTTTTTTTATTAAAAATAACAAGTAGACATGATAGCTTTAATGAGACTAAGACAAAGAAATCTATTTAATAACTTTACTATATTGAGTAAACAGATGTTTATTTTTTATTGCAAACGTTTATATATCAAAGAGAAATATTTTTTTCTTGAAAAAATATATAGTTTTTATAAATTCTTACATAGCAATTCAACTTTTAAAAATTCTCACTGAATTTTTTTTTCATAAATAATAATTTTATCCTTAGTTAATTTTATCGTTGGTCACCTCTATGCATCGGCCACGACAGTCCTAGCCACTCTCTTTATTGGTCAGCTTCATCATTAGTGTGACCTGCAAACCTTCCTCGCTATGGATTATAACCAAGAAAGGAGGAAATATGACTGTGCACCCTTATCGTTAACTATAGATGAGAAAGAAGAATGAGTAAGCCTATGCACAAGAAGGTGGATAAAAGCATCGTGCATGATAATTTGAAGAGAAAGAGGCAATCGACGGAGCAAAGTTATGATCAAGGGCTTGTGTCCACACACAACTCTCTCACCTCATCGACATCACAGAGGGGAGGAGAGGTAGAGCAGCTAAACAAGGTAAAAATAGTGGCTGACCTAATAAAAATAGAAATAAAATAATTTTAAAAGAATAAGAGGATGATGCTCTGAAATTTTTTTGGCACTAAATATTTCTTTTTCTGAAAATTCGTCCAACAGATGCCTTTAGAATTCACATGCACCAAACCAAGATTCCTCTCACTTTCGGGCCCCACGAGAGAACCACATGCTGCGGTATAGCTTTTAAGAGATCGCCTGAGACACAAAGTATTATCCTTGCGTTTGTACGTTCATCAAGTTGATGTACAGGAGAGTAAAGTTTAATGCAACGCTAGCCCACAGAAGGAGACATGTCTCTTGCTTTCATGGCACACAATCCACCCTTCTGCTCTGCCTTTTGTCTCTTCTCGATGCCCTTCTCCATCACTCTCTCCCCCCCCCCCTCCCACTTTTTCCCAACATCTTTCAGATTGCAAGCCGGGATTCAGAACACAGGTACCTTTACATGGAGTTCTGGAGCGAGCTCTCATGAGTTCCCCGGGTCGACCTTTAATGTCACCTGTTGATCACCAGCAGATCCTAAGTCGGTGGCTAAGGAATGTGTTCTGCACATTCTGAATCCTGCACATCTCTCACGCATGAAATGCTGCGTGCTGCATCTGCATCAACAGACAGTCCATATTTTGTCATGCAGATCTTTTCTAGCTAGATGCAACGATAATGAAACTAGCTGGTAAATAGAAACATTATTGTGTTGTTCTTTTCTTTTTGTTTGGTCTGGGGCTCAGAGAGAGAGAGAGAGAGAGAGAGAGAGAGAGAGAGAGCAGGCAAAGTTCATCCCTGACAGGTCAAAGATCTGAAGCTTAGTCAAATAAATCTGTGAAAACTGCAACTTGTCCAGTAGATTATATAATACAATGACATCATTCTTCACTAGTACTGCCTACATTTTCCATCTTGTTTGTTGATGGATCCTTTCCACCTTGTAAAACTTAGCATCAACTTGTTCTTATTATTATAAGAGAAATATTGGGTGGGTCAAATGAGCAAACTCTGCTACCAGCACACAAAATAGACCATTAGATTATGGCTTAATTATCAAATTCTAGCAGACATTTGTCTTGGTATTATACACAAAATTATGACACCTTCACAGGATGCTTTTCTCTTTCTATCACATCATAACACGTACTGATGTGCAGCTATACAAAATGGCAGGATTCTGACATTTAAATTTAGCCTGTAGAAGTTAGCAAAGAGGAGAGATATAATAATATGCTTTAGCTTGCGTTTATTATAATTGGTTTTAGTGATGCAGTCAACAGATCTCTTTCTTTGTACCGTTCGTTCATCTCTCTCTCTCTCTCTCTCTTCTGCAACGTTATTCTTCCACAAATTTTTGTTCGTTTCCTTGCCGTCGAAACGACGTAGCCGTCGGAATGTCTCCGGCGGAATGCCCTGAGGAGAAAGCACGGCATAAAAGGGTGAGAGATCGATCAAGATGCGACCGTGGACAGCGACCTGACGGCGTCGAGGGGAGAGACAGCGACTTCTCAGCCGCCTCGTTGCCACCTTTGATTCGATTCACCATTGTTGTTACCGAGACACGCTCCTTCCCTTGCCCTTTTGCTGCCTCGTCCATTTCCTTTCTAAACTCAGGATGAAACCAATCATTTTGCAGAAGATTTCACCGCACTGTCGGTGTTCCTTCGCCCAGCCTCCTTGGCATCTTCCTCAACCGATTAAATGCATTGCAGATGCTGAGTTGTCTACTGAACATTTCCTAGTTCACAGTACAATACGAATCTTATCGACTCAGGACCATGAAACACCAAAAATGGATTGCCTCCTCTCTGTCATTTGCCAACGAATCAGCAGATTCCTACAATCCTAATAATAACCCAAATCATATGATAGAATTGCTCCACAGTTCTACAACTTGGTCAGCTGGACAAGCAACTCCCTCCATGATGCCAAAAGATGGCTTTCATCACTACCATGTTGCTGAGTACATGACCACAAAGATGCCAGTCATCAAGTTTGTGATCATCATAAAGGTCATTAATTCCTGATCTATTTTTTATAATAATTATTATCTTAAAGGTATCTAATTTATCCTTTAAAAAAAATTATTGTCTTTATAAGAATCTCATTGGTGTCAGCCGCGAAAATGATGGTTAGAAAAATAATGTTGGTAGATGAATAAGAACATGAAGAGGAGTTACTTGTTAAAAGGAAGTCTGATATGACTAGCAACATGCAGTGGTTGGATAGTCTATTTTAACATGTTGAGATTTCTTATCGTAACTCTAACTTTGTGATTTGATTAGTAAACCACTTACCATTGAGAAAAGTATATGAGCATCTTCTTAATATCTTACTATCTCGACAGGAACATGCTGCATGGGTGCCTCTTCCAAGTTATCGAGATTCGCAAGCTAAAGGACCTTTGCCTTTGTGCCAGTTGCGTCGCTTTAAGCATTACTCTCGGAGAAAGTTATGTCTAGTTGCTTGTTGTTGACTTCTTGCCCCGAATGAACTACTGTTTCATGAGGAGTACTCTGAGCTCATGTGCAAAGTGCGAGGAGGAAACTTGAAGAGAGTTTATCTTGGTTTACGAGGCTCAGCAATCTCCTTTTGCTACCAAGGCAGGCTGGAAGTTGCTTGGCAGCTGAGGGAAGATAGGAATTTCTTTGCAACGTTGCATTCCTTTTAGGAACTTTTGTGACTCACTACACATGAGCAAGAAATCAAACAAAGAGCACCAGTGTTCTTTTGCATGTCATGTGGGTATCTTTTGCCAAACTCTGAAGAATATTTTGCTCTGAGTCTGCTTTTTCTCAGTTGAGCTTTGACAGAAGAAGCATGTGAAGAGAATTTTTGCGTTTTCTCGGTCAAGTTCTCGTAGTGGCAGAATGGGTGATGCGTACAAGGAAAACTTCTCATCAGGAACATGACAAAGTCAAGCAAGGCCGACACGCTTTGCATGTCTTATCCTCCTCCCTAAAACCAGTGGTTAAGACTGCGAATAGGCAGTGAAACCGGAGAGAAATTCAAGGAACACACGCTATATTAATTGGATTTACTTGAGGACTGCAAAAGGCATTGTGGCAGAAGCTGATGAGACCGGGAAATCCTCAGACTCCAACTTTGAATGCTCCAATAATTTGCTCATGAGTGGTCTCATCAGTGTCGCCATCAGGGTTCGTGATCTAGATCAGGAACAGCACCTTCTTGGCTGCTCCTGTGAGCTTGCGGAAGACAAATGCAAATGCCAAACCCTGCAAAGTGGTTCCTACACAGAGAAGAGTCCAGTGGATCCCCTAATACTCGACTGGTCCGGGAGCGTGGGATGGCGTCGTCTCTATCTCATTGACAGCCTCATCTTCCAGTCACATTATTACAGCACCGCTGCTGACATTCTCAGTACTCCTCTGTTGCAACTCTATTATTATTTGGTTGTCGATAGGAATCTCTGTGCAGAGCCGTGGGATCGGCGGGCACCACACATCCGACGATCGGAATCCATCCACACAAGCCAAAGTAACAACGATTTCCATTTCTGTAGTAGTAACCCCGAAGATGAAAGTACAATACCTCACTCCCTGATGTGGTCATGAGATGCATGGCATTTGTGGAAGAAGGACAAGAATGCGTTTGGAATTATGATTGTGAAGGGGGTGGCTTGCATCGATACATCCCGCAATTTGCGGATCGATTCAACCTTAACATGCTCGCTTTGGTCTTGAAGCATGCAAGTAAACAGTGATGCTGACAGAGAGACACAATGAAGCTCAATCTTCCTCGATAGTAATATTCTAATCTCTTCGCCGGGGATCATCTGATAGACATTTCAACCTCTGCAGCTCATGTAGGGACAGGAGCCTCATGCATCGAAATCATGCTTTCTGCCTTCCCCATTACACCACTGTCTGCTGCAAGAATATCTTATAGTATAAAACATATTAACTCATCATCACCGTGAAGCTCCAAAGGCAAAAGAAACCAACCACAAATTGATTTCGTCACCTCACTTTCCCCTTCCCAAAGCAGCTTTTGGTCGATTTAGGTAGAAAGAAAGAATCATCACCTCACCCACGCTGGCTTAATCGAACAGCCTTTATGCATCAGTACTTCCCTTTCATGGCAGCTTCTTGCCCAATTCAGGTACAAAGATGTGTTCTTTCCGTGTCCACTGGGCTAACCACCACAGAATTCATCGGATAGAATATATAATTTTATCGTAATTCGATCCATCCATTGGCGGCCTCCGGTGATTTAGATGTTACTCGGAGCATTTATGGTGCTCACAGTCGAAACGAGCGATGCTGTCTACCCGACAGGGATGATATTGGAATCCACGTCGTCGTGTCATCCATGGAATGGGGTGTTCCGCTGAGCGAGTGTTTGACTAAGTGCATGTAAAACAGAAGATCATTTATCTTTAGGTATACGTAAATACCGCATGGGGATTTCCTATGCGCCCGTTTTTATAGGCAAGTGCTAACAAAACGGATCGGCGATTTAAACTCATCCTAACTAATTCCTCTCTGCCAGACGCCAAAAGCCTGCTGCGATTTTTGTTGTTGTGATTTATGTGATTCGCTCTGCGGTGGGATCTCAGATCTCGGTTTTTGCTGCCGCGTCGGGAGGCCTTAAAGAGGTAAAGATCAATAGCTGGTTTGTCATGGTAAATCGAGATCTTGGATTGTGTCGATTGGTTCTGGGGTGTTCGGATCAGCAAGTGGGGAGTGGGAAGGGTTCTCTTCTCCTGGATTTTGGATTGGGTGATTGTGTGGTTTCGTCAGATTGGCTTTAAGAGAATCGCTTTTGGGTTTAATTGGATCTTGAATGGGGCTAACGGATATTTATGGCGGGTGTCGGTCTGAGAAGGGGATTTAATTCGTCGACTTGAATGACCTCTGAACAAATGCAGGTGCCGGGAAACTTGTTCCGGTAGACACTCCGGTTTCCTTGCGGCTGGATCTCGGCGATGTTGGAGCTCTCCCCGAGGTAACTGATGCTTTGTCTTCCTTTTACCGATCGATTCATCTCTAGATTTGTTGTGGATCTATCGTGCGCTGTGTTGTCTTGAGTTGGAACGATAAGAGCGTTAGAAAGATGACATCTTGGTTCTTTTTTGTTGTATTTTATAGTATTTATCAGGTCTAAAAGTTTTCATGATCGAAGAGTATCATGCTTTTCTTTCTTGTTTCCCTTCTCTGTCCGATTTCTTATTCTCTTTTCTTGAATTTGTTGTTAATATAACAGCAGGGTATGGACCTTCGATTCTCATTTGTAGGTATCAGTTGCAGTTAAACACATATGAAGGCCGAGTTTTGAGAAAAAGGTTCCTCTTATGACTTGTGAGAAAATGAAAGGTAGGTGGTTTGTTTGGCCTTCAGAAATCTCAAATGAATACATGGAACTGTTTAGTTTTCCTGCTTCTCAACTTGTACAATGTTCTTCCTTGCAGAATGTTCTGAGGGATCTTTTACTTACGATGAAAGAAAAGAAACAAGGCCTGATGTGGAGAACTACGAGGATGAGCGCAGAAGAACAAGAATTGCGTCTCTTAGGAAGAAAGCATTGCATGCTTCCACTAAATTCTCTCATTCTCTGAAGAAGCGAGGTAAGAGGAAAGTTGATTTCAGGGTTCCTTCATTTTCAATCGAGGATGTGAGAGATGCTGAGGAGGAGCAAGCAGTTCATGCATTCCGGCAAGAACTCATTGCCAAGGAACTATTGCCTGATAAACATGATGATTATCATACGATACTCAGGTTAGGAGCTCTGTTTCTAATAGTTTGATCACTTAATGTGTGGTCTTTTTCTTTTCCCCCCTTGTTTGCAGTTTTAACTATGACATATTTGTAAAATGTGGAATTTTATGTATGATATGCTTATTTTAGAACATTGTGGTTATGTCTTTTGTTTATTTCATGCAGATTCCTCAAAGCTAGGAGGTTCGACTTTGAGAAAACAATCCAAATGTGGGCTGAGATGCTTCAATGGAGAGAAGAATTTGGAACAGACTCGATTCTGGAGGTAAGGTTACCTTCACAGACCATGCAGCAGTTTTACATGCCCCAAGTATCATACATGAAAATCAAAAGAGTGTGACATAATCCCATGTAATTCATCACCAGCAGCTCTTTAGTATTTCTTTACACTTTGTATCAGTAACATTTTAGTCCCTAAAATTTTCTATTCTAGTCATCTTATGATCCTCAAAACCCTGAAAAGTTAAGCTTGATCATTTTGTCTCTGAAATATGGGATAACAGATTTTAGATCCCTCCTCCTCTCTTTAGAAAATAAAGAAACACATAGATATTTGATTGAGCCATTTAGTGTAATTGTCTATTGGTTAGTAGGATATAAGAAGGCCTGAAGAAATCCATCCACAAGAAATCCTCCACCAAATGCACCAGTTTCCTATATAAGTTGTGTGCAACAAAATGTAATCAATGACATGCTCATAAAAAACCAAACCTAGCATGTAACTTCAAATGCAACCATAATCTTATCATATTAAACTTTTATTTCATTTTATTGTTTCCATTGCATGAGATGGACGTCAGGCATGACTCATCACATGTGTATTAGTTCACCTTAAATCATGAGTATATTCAAAGAGTTCATTTTCTTATGAATGCTATCTGATGGAGATACTAAATTTTGTTCAACTGTAGGACTTTGAGTTTGAAGAGCTGGAGGAGGTTTTGCAGTATTATCCTCAGGGTTACCATGGAGTTGATAAGGAGGGAAGGCCTGTGTACATTGAGAGACTTGGGAAAGTTGAGCCCAATAAGCTTATGCACATAACTACAATAGATCGCTACTTAAAATATCATGTGCAAGAGTTTGAGAGAGCCCTGCATGAGAAATTTCCTGCATGCTCTATTGCTGCCAAAAGGCATATTGGTTCAGCGACAACAATACTAGATGTACATGGTGTGGTATGTCGCTTGCATACCTTCCCACAAGGTTTCTTTATTGTGCTGTAGATAGAAGCGCACATGTTTCAAATAATATATTGCATGGTCTTAACCTGCCGTAACATAGGCTCTGTCCTGAATGATGTAGCATTTATGCCCCCATTTGTCACTTCTTATAGTTTTATTAGAAGATGCTGAAGAATATGATGAAAACAAACTTCAGAAAATGAGGTTACATATAGACCATTACATGTTCCATGTGATGTTTTATGAAAGATAGCACGTGGTACCTTTAATTTCTCTCACTAGGACTTGAAATGAGATGTTAAAAAGTGCAAAAGAGCATTAAGAAATTGGAGTCAATGAACACAGATAATCATTGATGTTAAATAAAATGTCTCATCTTTAATTTTAGAGTAAAATGTTTTTCCATATATGAGAAACATATTCTATATCCAACAATCCATTAAATTAAACTCTCACCATTTATAGATGCTATCATGAGACAATGGATAAAGATGCTATGTCAAATTTATTGTTCTCAACAGTACTTTATGAAAATGTGAGTCAAGTAGATATTTTATTGTTGACACCCAAATAGAGTTATCATAGGCTCGAAACTTTATCGAGTATTTACCACTATTATAATATTTTGGTATTAATTATTCCAGCTCAATGAGATGCAATCTTGGCTATTTTGGAACTCAAATATTAGCTTCTGTTCCTATATCATTCTTATGTTTAATTGCAATGAAGAAAAGATATGGCTAGTTCTGTAGTTAAATTACATGTATTGCCCACCTCTGCGTTACTCTACCTCCAACCATCAATTGAGTTGCTTCTTGTGATCTTGGTGTTAGCATATTCTGAACCTTATATTCACCACTGTGGATTATAGGGCTTGAAGAATTTCAGCAAGACAGCTAGGGATCTCTTGCTTAACATGCATAAGATAGATGGCGACTACTATCCCGAGGTAAATTTATGTAAGATATTTGTCTTACGTAGCACTTAATATTGGAGGAAGGTCTTAAATTGTTTAATTTTGTGCAGACGCTACACCAAATGTTCATAGTTAATGCTGGCCATGGTTTTAAGCTTCTCTGGAATACTGTAAAAGGATTTCTTGATCCCAAAACAACTTCAAAGATACATGTAGGCTCGATTCTTTTGAAGAATTATGTCATTTACTTTGTCTTTCTGCTTCTGTTCTGAATGATAGGTATAGTTGATGCCATGTACAGGTACTAGGCACAAGGTACCAGTGTAAACTTCTTGAAGCAATCGACTCCAGGTTGGTGGGTCATTTCATGCTCTTGGGGTTTGCTTAGCAGATTAATTGTGTTTTTCTTTTTTACTTCCAGCCAATTGCCAGAATTCCTAGGTGGTTCATGTACTTGCTACAGTGAAGGAGGGTGCCTCAGATCTAATAAAGGACCATGGAATGACCCAGTTATAATGAAGGTAAGAATCTCATCGTCATTATTGATGTGATATCACATTTTATTTATGGTGAAACTCTGCCATGGTAATACAACTGTTTTGATCAACTGAGAGATCTATGACCCTTCTTTTTTCTGTAGATTGTAAATAGTGTTGGAGCAGCATGTATTAGGGAAATCAGACATGTATCTGATGGAGAACAGGCCAATGCCTCTTATCGTATGCGACATCAGTTAAAGGCAGGATGCTGAATTGCTAATAATTTACTGTAGTTGACTTTGTAGATGATCTACTACCCCTTATTGCTATATTGACTTCATATCTATGAATCGCAGAGAAGAAACAGCGATACGTCAACTGCCGAATCAGGATCTGATGCTGACGATCTAGGTTCTCCTGTCATATTTAGCACTGCTGAATATACTCATTTAGCCCCAGTTAATGAAGAAGTGAGTTTGATGTATCTGCTAAATAAATAGTCAGTATTAACTATTAAGATTTTTCAATTACCAGCTTCATCTGTGTTGGAAATGCTTCATGATATTATGGTAAGCATGATAATTCATACTTGGAAGATAATTAATTGCACAGAAAAAAAATGGTACTTCAGCAAGGAATATAATAAGGATTTCATTTTCACCTTATTTGGATTAATTATATTTAAAGAAAGCATCATAGTTCATTTTGAAAGATTCTTCTAAGTTGATGTTTCCTCAGTGAAGGAGACCAAAGGCAGATGCATATTCTGAATATTCCTGTCAAAAATTTGTCAAAGATTATCATTTTTTTCCTTTGCCTATTTATACATTATTTGTTTGTGAAAACTTCTTAACTATATCTTCTGCAAAGATAAGATTTCATTCAATTTTTCAATTGGTTCATCACTTTAGGAAATTTAAGAAGTACTTATGTGTAATCCTTTCCCAGATCACTACATAACTTGTTCATATTTCCGGCCTATTATTCTTCTCCAAAGTCTGGTTCAATGGATATTTTCTCCTGAAGATCATTATGTTTTAGTTTATTTTTATCACGAGCACGATGACATGTTTGAATAGTATCACTTGACATTGCTATTTATTTTGCTGGCCAAATTCGTCCATGTGATGCACTTAACAGGTTACAGATGAATGGAACCAACTTAAGTTGTATATATCTTAGACATTCATGTATCATAATATTTTTTTATGTTACCTGGTCTATGTCGCAAACTTTCTCTCATAAAATATACTCAAAATTAACCATTTTATCTAGCTCCTGTACTGCTTAGCCATAATCATTTTCAGCTCATGTTCAATCAGTCACTAATATTCAATCACTTTGTCCTTCTATCTGCTTTGTGCATTTCTTGAGTGTACTATGTGGTTTCTCATTTTTAAGCTCTTCAATTGATGTAATAATTACTAAAAAAACTTAGTGAATTTCCTTGTTTGTCATTATCTTCACAGGTTAGAGCTGCAGATTCAACAGGTTACTACTTCAGCCGTGATGAACATTTGGTATCAGTTTTTAAGCCTGTAGAATCTGGTGGAAAAGGAGCAGGATCTGCTTTGAAGTCATCCACTGAAATAAAAGATGATGGCTGTGCTTTTGCCACTGGAACATCAAATTCCCTAGGTATTATCAATTAATTCTTTATTCTATTCATCTGCAACATTTTTATTTCAACAAAATCACCCTCTTTACCAAAAATAGTAACCCTATTTGGTCATAAAAAGCAAATTCGTGAGTTCTATTGGCAATGTATCTTTATGTTAACTAAGTGTCGTTGTTTTTTGCTTTTGTTAAAGTTGACCTACATAATATTGATAATTTGGAAAATTTATGTTTATTTTTCGTACTTCCAGGTGGCTTGTCAACTGATAGACACAATACTATCAAGGATGATGCCGAAGAAGGAAAACTACAATATATTTCTAGAGCATTGATGAAGCTGTTGGTAAAAGTGTTATCCTTCCTTCGAATTTTTCGAAGGAGACCAGAAAGGAGATTGGAGAATGTTCATCCATCAGATGTGTCGAGCCTGATACCTGATAACCATACAGTGAGTGAAGCTGTCAAGGAAGATAAAGTCACTCCTTACATAGAACGCCTCGAGAAGCTTGAGTTGATATTGAATGAACTTAGCCGCAAACCTGCAGAGATTCCACAAGAGAAAGAACATGCAATCCTGGATTCAATGAACAGGATAAAAAATGTTGAGTTTGATCTTCACAAGACAAATAAAGTAAGTCCTATCTTCTCTTTTTCTTGTTTTTCGGCGCAGTCTTCTCTTTTATTTGAGATGATGTTTCATATCTTAGTTTTTCAAATATGGAAATTTGAGTTTTAATATCTTACCAAATCCAAGCATTTTGCACATTAACTTCTGCAATTATTTGAAAGAACTTTTTGCTAGAGTTTAGCCAGTGTAAATGTTATGATTCAATTCTTAGAGCTGGCTGGATGCCTTTGTTTCTCTATTTGACATGGTTGGTGCAGCATTTACAATGTTTTTGAAACAGCCATTCCATCAAAGTTTCAGTTTGGTGTGGTCAAATGTCTCACTTTTTTGGATACAGAAGTCCTTCGATCTTATAGAGGATAATAAATGAACAAATCATTTTCTTTTATATTTGTTAATTTTGTTGTTTTTCTGTCAAATATGTAAACGTTTCTAGTTTTCTAAATATTATCCATGAGTCTGCAACCTGGATATATTTATGGCTGGCCTATAATGTGAGATATCCTTGGTCCTGCTCAGTCCTTGCAGCTCTCTTACTGTTTAATATGTATCTTGTTTCTATTTGTCTTTCTCATAAATTTTCTTTGTAATTTGTTTGTTATATCTTGGTCGGGTTAATCTGATCTCAATTTCTCCATTTAGGTGCTGCAATCAACTGTGATGAAGCAATTGGAGATCGAAGCAACTTTAGAATCTCTAAATGACACCAGTGTTAGGGTAAGTTGAGAAACACCATTATCATATTATAGATGGTCAGTTGCAACACAACTTTAACTACATTAGCTACTTGGTGGGCTTACTTTTCCTGTTTGTTATCTGCCAAAAGCAGGCTTTTGTTTTTCGTTTTTTTTATATTTATTGTCTCAGTTTATATGTTTTAGACGGAAAAATAAATGGGTGAAATTCATTTCAAGTAATGAGTTTGATTTATTTTATTCTGCTTTTGCAGACATTGACCTTGCATCAAACAATTCTTCAGACTTTTAAATTTGTCAAATAGTCAGTCTGCCTTACCTTAGTAGGATGTAAGATCCCTTTGTGGATAATCTGTCTTTAGTCAATTAATCGTGGCTCCTATATATAGGATTTTTTTTTCCATATCACTCTGTTACTTCCGTGTTAAACTTGCAATTATGATTTACTATGTATTTATACACTAATCCTGACTGGCTTTGGTTTCATGTTTTTTTTTGGTGCAGAGAAGAAAATTTTGTTGATACCTTGTGACACAGTAACTTTACACTTCTGATGTTCTGATTGAAACCAAAAGGACATAATTCCTTCCATACATCTTTTTTGTTTTTTTCTCGAGAAGAAAGAGAAAAAGAAGGGGAAGGAATGATGATCGAACTGCACAGAACTCATATGAGCCGATTGTTTGGCATGCCAAGCCAGACACTAGAGGGTCCAGTAAAAGAAGCAAAAAGAGCAAGCAAAGAGCAAAATTCATACATAATACATGTGTCATTTCCCCTTACTGTTTTATTTTCTTCGTTTTTCTTCTTTATCTTGAGCTTGTCCACCAGTTCTGTTTGTTGGATGCAGTAACGGAAATTATACGTAACGCTGCAGTTTGATGCTTGATCCTGGCTCAGTTACCGCCCGGTGGAGTTCCATTGTCTTCACCCAACCATTTCATCATCAGCATCGTCAAACTATATGATGACAAGTCTTACCAACTGGCGCATTACACGAAGAAAGCACGAGTTTGGATTATGTTATACTGATGAGGGATCGACGCCTAAAGGTTTTCTCTGATTACTATCTATTAGGCCTAAATTTACGACAGTATTCACTATTCATTTGAATTGTGTCCTTGGCGGCACAACTAGACTTATCTGGTGTAAAAGCATTGCACAAAATGTCAAGCTCTGCTCTCTCACAGCAGCACATAAAAAGTTTCTGCTCATGTCTAAGATATGTGGATCATTGAAAGCTAAATTACTACATGTAGCAGTGAAGGCAACAGCTACTTTTTCTCGAGGTTCAAAGCAACGTTGAATTGGAGTAATAGCGATCCTTTTTGTGTTTTGTCGTTCTTAATTAAATCTCGGGTTTTGGGACTTTGATATTGGATATCTTTGATTCAATATAAAAGTGATTAGATTGGATTTTGTGTACTTGTTAATTGCGTAGTTGTTAACGTGCACTTAGCAGGTTGATCGCATCGTAATAGTCTTGTGGCAGATCAGTTGAATCTAAACAGCAAATGCAGCAAGAATTGTCGGTGAACTGCTCTTCGTCGACATGCCGCAATCCGATACCATCGATTGGCTTGCAAGCCGTTCAACAATCTCACCTTGAAGTCTGACCGCAATAAGGAGTCAATATTCCAACTTGGATGGGTCCCACTCTGGACGTCTCGACTGCCCTCCGAAACGCCAAAGTATATATATATATATGTAGTGTAATCTACAAATGTTATCCGCCATCAGCCAATCACTTCCACCCACGCCATCTCCGCCGAATCCTCTCATCCATCCTCCGCCCCACAAAACCTCACACCGCCACCACCACAAGCCCACCAGACTGCCACCACAATCGTCATATCTGCGAACGGCATCCAACTCCCCATCTTCACTCTTCCTTTTTCTATCTAAAGAAAAGAGAGAGAGAGAGAGGAGTGAGAACAAACAGTACTCCCTGCCAAACTCCCCCATGGCTTCCACTGTCTTCACCCCCTCCTTCCATGGCCTCCGACCCCTCAAGCCGACCGACTCCTGCAAGCTGCCCCAGACGCGGGCCGTCGCCGTCAAGCCTTCCCGCTGCGCCCGCAAACCCGGTTCGATCCGGTCGGAGCTGAACCCGTCGCTGGTCATCAGCCTCAGCACCGGCCTCTCCCTCTTCCTGGGCAGGTTCGTCTTCTTCAACTTCCAGCGCGAGAACGTGGCGAAGCAGGGCCTGCCGGAGCAGAACGGCGTGACGCACTTCGAGGCGGGCGACAACCGGGCGAAGGAGTTCTCCGCGCTGCTCAAGTCCAACGATCCGGTGGGGTTCAACATCGTGGACGTGCTTGCTTGGGGATCCATCGGCCACATCGTCGCCTACTACATCCTTGCCACCTCCAGCAATGGATACGATCCCAATTTCTTTGGTTGAACCTTCTTCCCATATATATATATATACCTACGTCTTGTTGTTGTCGGGATCATATATACATATACATGTATATGTATATAGGGATGTGATGACGGTGTGTTTATCATTGTGGGGTGCTACTGCTTCTCTTTATCCAATGCAAAAAAATTGCTTATACCATGTTTTTCTTCTTCTTCTTTTCATTCCTTTACATTATATATATATATATATATATAATTATACGAGTAAATCTTGATGTTATGTTTTCTCTTTCTTCTCATATCCATATCAAGCAGAACACATATACGGAGAATTTCAAAGTGAAAATTGATTATCACTCAGATTCAGAAATAAGCCAAATAAACAATGTTGCACCAAAATAAAAATACTAAGAAACACAAGCAATTTAGAAATGAACTCACCAATATGCAATGAGTCTTTTGATTTAAAGAAGAAGAAATGTTTTATTGTCCAAACTTGGGTCATAACCAAATAATAATAATAAGCAGCAAAAGACATTGGTTGTCGTATAAACACACTGAGCCTTTCTCACCAAAAGCTTAATAAAAATGCTAGACCACCTAGTTTGCCAAATACAATGAAAATATGCAATCGACAGACATTATAAACATTAAATAGATCCCTAAGTCAAGGGTTCAGAAAAGTATTAGGCAGGAAATGATTAAATTCGTCTTTCCTTAGAACTAAATACACAGAAATATCCTAAAACACATGGAAGGTACACAGGGTTTTTCCTCTAAAATTACGTGGGAGTGACACCGTTATATGACGGCAATAATTGCATGATGAACAAGACGAAGACAATACACAGTATCACTGTCTCGATAGAAAGACAAAGAGAGTACTTAAATACTCTACCATGCAGTCTCAAGACCTCTTGGGTCACTGATATATCCTTATCTAGTTCCTCCGCTCCTCTTCTTAACATCATAGGTTTGTTTTCAGCACTGTTCACCGTAAGCATCATCTTTGACGGAACCCCAGATGGAGATCTCTGCTCCTCAAGAAGAGAAATGTGATCTTCTGCTAGAACACTACAACTTTGAGTAGTTCTTGTCATGACCAAGTACCCGATTTCTGCCTCTATAATCTTCTCGAGCAGGTTTGAAAGCTCAACCTCCATCACCTTGCACTTCTCTTGAAGGAACGAAAGATTGGTACATTCTCTTTCCTTCTTCTTGAGGATCGCTTCAAGCTCAAGTATTTTTGATTCCTTGGCATTGACATTGGTTACTGCTTCAACTAATTTGCCTTCCAGATGCCCTATCTTCTGGTTTAGTTCAGCAGATTTGGCTTCGACACTTGGGGAGCTAGTCCCTTCTGTTTCTTCATATTGGTTGTCAGAATCATCAGATATTGTGTCTTTTGCAATTCCCCCAATATTTTGGATTTCTGTAGATATGCCATAAAAATAGATAACTTTATCATCGACATCAAAATTCGGAAAAAGACAAAAAGAACACATTAGGCACCATCATGTGGGACATAATGGATATTTCTTCTGAATCATGAATATCAAATTGTAACGAGAAATGCAAACAATTACAGAACCCGAGTCCTAAGACAAAATCAGACCAGACCACATATATATTTCAGCAACATGAAATCCCAGAAAAATGAGTTGATACATCAACAGTATTCTCCAAATTCCTAGGTGATAGTCAATAACTGTGTAAATGTTTCACTCCTTGAATATGAATTACAAGTTATTATGAAAGAAAGCAAGGAAAGAACATTTATACAAGTAATCCTGCCATGCAACTTCACCATGCAAACTGGGAAAATCTGCACTATTTGTTACTCAAACACATGCAAAAGAGATGCCTATGGGGGCAACTGGAATCACAATCTACACACATGGATAAGAACCTAACCGTGGATCATTTTGATCTTATTTCATTTGAAATTTGTTGGATCGTCTATTTACAAGCCACAGGATAATATGCAATAGAACAAAAAAAGATTAAAAAAAATTCATGTAATCAATAAACATTTAAAAAAGCTCAAATTAAATGAGATGGCCCTTGCTTATGACCCAAAAGAACCTGGATGCTCACAACATGATACTCACTCATAATCAAGAGAGATTTCAGCCAAAAAAACATTAGCATAAGCCTGGAATTTCCATAAAGGCCAACAGTAGTCATCAGAAATTACAAGATGTGGATCTAAAGCAACACTAAAGGCTATGAAGTGAAGCTAATATATCTTTGATAGAACATGAGTCCATTAGAAAGAACCTGTATGACTCTATTGAGTATACAGGAAATCTAAGTTGTATCACTCTGCGCATCAAAGATTAAACTAGGATCGTCCTATTTGCAGGTCTCTTGAAGGATCTGCACCAAAGTCACATGACAGTCTACATATTGGCACATCTATCTTGTTTCTTGTAGAACATTTTAATCTAAAATTGGCTCAAATTCAGCAACGTTTTCCTAAAAAGTTGCTGATGATCGATTTATGGTTACATTTGCCAGGGCACAATGACAAAAAGATTTTAAAAAATACTCGACAGAATAAGCTCTATATCTTTTAAATAGGCTAACCGAATCATGTTTGATCACAAAAGACTGCACAACTTTTTTAGAACATGAAATATCAAAGTTCTTGACCAAAGGATACAGAAACTTAATAAGCTATTCTAAAAATTTTAGGAAAAAGGTCGATGGAAAAGGGATAAGGGAAAAAAAGGCATACTGATCATTGTTACAAGGACAAAGTAGCATACCATTTTCAAGTGCTTCTTTTATCAATTGGAGAGAAACAATTGACTCAAGAAAGGAATCAAGATCTGTCCCTGGTTGGTTGTTCTCACTTTTAGTATTATTCTCCTCCCCTGACAGATGCGCATATAAATCTTCTCTTGATGAATCTCCAACTTTCCCATTCTCAATGTAGAAACCTGATCTAACTTCCCCACTTAGCCGAGCATCATCACTCTGTTCACCATCAAAGTTGATAGATTTCTCACTCTGCTTCCCATTACTACCCATGCTGTCCACACGCACAAAAGCCATATTTGAACTCATCAAGTCAGATTCAATGCTTGAGTAGGAGTTCTCCATCTCGTTCTTAACTCGATTTTCTCTAAATTTCTTACCAGTATCGATTCTGCCTCCTTTTGCCCGTTGGCCTCTTTGTTGGACAGCATGCCCTGATCCTTTTCCACCACCAATCCTTGGCTTGCTTCTGTCCCTCCCAAGACCAATAGCTTCGTACGGCAGCCTTGGAGCACTTGCAGCGGTAGATGACTTACTACTATGGTCATCACTATTCTCAGAATCTATGCCTATACTGAAACCAGCAGCTGTGACTAAGAAATCGAGCTCTGGATCTAATGAGGTGGGGGCGACAAGAAAAGGAGTGCCTCCTATGTTCATCGACGCCAATGAAGCAGCTGAACCTTTACCTTCACCCTCTCCATCGCTCATGTGCTTGTTATCATCACGAGCCTTTGACGGCTCCGCGTGTGAAAGCCTGCGTCCCAGAATCTGAGCAGAATCAGCATTGCTTATTACATCTTTGCTCGTATCCCTCCTAATTCTCCTCCTCCTCTTCAATCCATAACCCCTCAAAGGGGCCGGCTTCGACGGCACCACCTGGGTCGCTTCACCCGAACGAGATCCCACCGGATTCGAAGGCGATCGCGCGAGTGAATCATCGTTTGCCTTCACGACCCCAGGAGAGGAAATAACTTCCGCTGGAGAAACACACGCTGTGTCCTCCCGAGCTGGATCTCCACCACCTATCTCAATCGGGGAAACGAACCGAGGAGGCTCTTCATGGCCCATTTCTCCATTGAGCTCCACCTTTATTTCACCCAAAGAAGCCATCTTTTCTGGGGTTTCACTTCCCTAGTACTCTTCCGGGTCGTCAGACCGCAATTTAGAGCTCTCCTCCTCCGTATTGGAACCAAAACTAAATAATCTACGACAACAAAGATCATTTACCAATCTCGGAGAACGTGACAACGTACCGCCGGAATCTTCGACAAAGATCCCAAATCCTTCCGAAGGTCAAAGAACCGAAGACGACGAGGAATTCGGCCCGAACCGAACGAAGATTGCAGGCAAAAACGTTCGAATTACAGAGTCAAGTCGCGGGTTTCGAGGAAAAATCGAACCTTTGCTGCGCTTCCTTCGTCGAAATCAGGGTTACTGAGGGCGGAAATATCGTTACATGGGAGGCAGGAGTGGAAAGGGAAGAAAGGGGAGAGCTCGCAATCCGAGAGGGCGCGGGGAATAAAAGAGCCGTGCCGTGGTATTATTCTTTAATGCGATTTATTACGTGCGACGATGTCAGTGGTCAGAAACAAGAGCGGCAAACGGAGTGCAGCACCCCTGACTTGGCCGAGATACCATACAGGAAAAATGTAATTTACACCAGGCCTTCATTACCGGGTCCCGCGAGATTCCATACGGGCCCCATATTTAGGACAACAAGAAGACAAAGAGATCCTTTTTGGTGCGTCAGACGGGACACAGCAGCCGCGAAGGCACTCGTTGGATCGCATCTTTTGCTTGACCAATGCCACTCGATACGAAGAAAATTACCAAAGTACCCGAATCCGCATCTCTCTCTCTCTCTCGTGTGTCTTTGGGATTGCAAAACACATAAGACAATTAATCGTAGCGTTTACTGATCGTAAAATGAAATCATCATCAGGTTATTGTGGATTATCAGACTCCCTATTAATTACACCGAATGTAATCACATATTTATTGGTTCTTATCTCCTCCATATTAGCAGTAAATTGCAAATCCAAGGCGTCAACTTGTTGTTTGATCTTTTGAAACCAACGCTTGCAGGATGTGTGCATGAGAACTGTAGTTGGAATCTGATTTCGCAGGAATCCAATAGAGGTTTGGTGACCGTCGTTAAAAACTTAATAAGATTTTATTGATTCTTAGTATAAGAATCCCTTTATCATTTAATTAATGAGTCATGATTTACTAAAATTAAATATAAATCATAATACATATTAAATTTGGTATCATACATATTAGCTTTGAAATTTCATAATTATCTCAAGATACGAATTATTTTCTTGAAATTTGATACGATTGAATTTGAAATTTATTGTCTTAAAAACTTGTAGCATTTAATGCTCATTGCATCATCATTCTAAGTGAGAAAGAACACAGTTATTGATGAGGGTAATAATGGCGACATGACGCGCCACGACGTCAACCATGCCTGGACGATACTCTACCCGAAAGAGGGCAATAATGCCGATGCGATATGCGCTGACGTCACCCGCTCTCAGACAACGACTTCATCGTTGTCTAACCCAACATGCTTGGCCGAGGCAAAGGAGAACGACGACCGAGGCTCGCCCATGCCCTACGGCAGCTCGATTCTCCACGCAACGCCAATGGCAATGTCAGACGCCATCAGAGGTACGATCCTGCTCCTGCGGGCAGGCACATCAGGTAACACTAAACTGCCCTATAAATACTCCCGAGTTCTAAGCGCTAGGATGGGGACTTCTTCACTCAAAATTCCCTCTACATCCATTAACTTGATCGTCGGAGGGGTTGAGCCGAGCTTCTGACCCGACCTGTGTATAGGTGCAAGGACGGGGTTGCTTCTTCCTGGCGCTGCGGAGAAGCCTTCCTCTCAACACCACAACCTAACCAGACCACCATAACCGATAACCCGGACGAGCTCGAGGGAGGCCGTGCCAGATCCTCGTCATTCGGACCCCAACCAAGCCACGTCGGCCTCGAGGCCACGACATAAAGTTGTTTACAATAACAGTTATCATCATCATTGTTATGATAAATTGATAAATCATAAGTGTTAAACGTAAGTAAGGAAGAACTCGTCCATGGGTTATCATTATTATTGTTACGATAAATTGATAAATCCTAAGTGTGAACATTAAGAGAAAATTCAATCTTGTAAGCATTATCATTAATTTTCTTTAAGAACTCGATCAATTTTAATTTTTTTTGAATTTAATGTGCATTTTTGGTGGAAAATATTCTCTCTTCACAAAAAAACCCAAACAAGATCTCCTTATTCAAAGATCTTCACATGATGTATTTTCTTTATAAGCTTGGTTGCTAGCTTCAAGCTTCTTCTTTACTTCTTTATGAATTTTTATCATTGTAACGACAAAATCCTCTTCCTTTGAACTTGATAAAGATGATTCAAGTACTTTAGCAAAATCTAGATAGTGATTATAAGCAAATTTAGCATGAGATCTTATTGTTTTAGTCTTTTTATAACAAAGCATCGTAGTAGCAGATTACCCAAGATTTTATTTACATCTTCAATTTGTTCATCTATTTGAGATGATAAGTATTACTATATAATAGGTAGGTGCCAAATTTCTATTATAAACTTTTCTAAAAATGACTAAGATATTTAGTATCTCTATAGATTTAGGAATTCTACGAAGTTTGATCACTTCATTGAAATAAAGCTTAGAAGCATCTATCATCTTTTTACAAGGAATAAAATATATCATTTAAAAAAATCGATCGATAACAATAATAATAGAATTGTACCTTTTTAATTTTTTGGTAGACTAATTACGAAATCCATACTACTATCTTTTTCGGGGGCATTAGGATTTGGTAAAGGAGTATATGTGTTAAGATTCTGAATTTGCTCTTTTGAACTATGGTATATCTTGCAACATGTCAGTAAATTGTAGGCCAAAAAAATTTGAGAAAGACTATTTTGTCTCTCATAAAATAATCTTCTAATCCATCACAGTGTAGTTCTTAGATAATATGCTCTCTTAGAGAATATTCATAAACACAAAATTAAGTTCCACCAAAGAAAATTCATCTTTCATAACATAATCTTACTCTGTATAACTCTCATATTACTCTAAAATCTTCATCATTAGAGTAATATTTCTTATTGCATCAAATCCTTTTAGTTGGTCACACATAGCATTAAGAAGTACAAATAATCAATTGAGTGCATATGTAACTTTATTATATATTTCGTTTTTACGCTTAAAGACAAATATATACTATTGTAAAAATGTTACTCATTTTACATATTATCTTGAGATTTATTTGAGAATTTATATGTTTAAGAGTTTCATAATCAAAATTTAAGATAAATTCTTCTTAGATTAAATAATGTTTCATAGTGATTGAATAATAGCATAAAATTCAATATGAATAGTTCTTTCTTGTATTATTAAGTTTTTCATTAAAAAATATAGATGGATATTCTTCTTGACTAAGTATTCCGCCTTTACCCATATGAAATGCATCACAATCAACTTTAAATATTTTTTAAAAAATAATAAAATAAAAACAGGAGTAGTTGATAATTTCATCTTTAGTGGTTCAAAATTATTGTTTGCCTTAATTGTCCATTGAACTAATCTTTTTTTATACAATCGGTTAGAGGAGCGACACTAATACTAAAATTTTGAATAAATCGACGACGATAAAATGATTCTAACCCATGAAAACTCTAAACATCTTATAGGGATGTTGGTGTTGGCCAAGTATAGAATAAAAAAATTCTTAACATCTACTAGTCATTTATATTACTACTTCAAAGATCAATTTTAGAAAAAATTTGAATGCAAGTAAGTATATCGAACATATCCTCGACATATGAAATAAAAAATCTATATTTATGATAATCCGGTTGATAGCTCGACGCATATCGCTAAGTTTCATCATTCTTTGGAATTAATAGAACTACAAAGACTTATGAACTTAAACTTTTTCAAATATAACTCTTGTGCAATATATTCATAATTTATTTATTTAACTCTTCTTCGTGTTCATTCCGACACATCCAGTATTGAGATTTGTTTAGTAAGATCACTCTTAGAATTAGATCGATTCGATGCCGAATGTCTCGAAGAGGAATCAGGCCACTAAGAAGTTCTTCATGTCTTTGAATTATTCCAAAATAACTTCTATTTGAAGAGAAATTTCTATGGGATGCATGAGTTATTTAACAACTAACATAAATATAACTTTACATTCTTTGATCATTGTCGCTGATACGAACAAGGTTGTGCCTTCCGATAATAATCATCATTCACATGGAAGGTTTTGGAAGGTGCAAAGTACGCCAGTGGCCTTTGGATCAGCAGCTTCCTTCTTCTTCTTCTTCTTCTTCTTCTTCCAATATCTGCTGGTTGATGAATTTAGCACCTTAAATTCTTGTGATTAATTACAAGGAAATCAACATATGTGTGCATGGCAGCTTGAGAAGGGAATGGAGACACACAGCTGCAAAAATATGGCCCATCAATTCTGTGAGGTAGAACAGGTGTTATCTAACCAGACTCGATGGAGGCCACAAGTCCTGATAGAAAATCTACTCATCACAAGATTTAATGGGGCCGCAAATGAGTCGTCAGCCACCCACGCTCCAAACACCTTCTTCTTATCCGCTAAATGTCCCACGTGTAGCAGTGTCATTGGCGGCCATGTCAGGGCCTCATCTTCCATAGGCGAACCTGATATCTAATTTAGATTCCCGTGCCCCACACCGCTCGAACCAGCCTCATATTTCTCTCTTCCTGCCGGTCTCCATTCGAACTCACTCCTCTCTGGTTTCATTTCCATCCCCTCCAGCTACGACCGACAGGGAGAGGCAGGCAAGAGCGGCAGCGAACACCGATGGCAACCCAGGCTTTTCTCTCCTCGGTGGAGGCTGGAAGGCAGCTCCTCGGGGGAAGGCCCCTCCGGTCTGCTCCCTCGAGATCTCTTGGTTCTTCGAGGAAGGCTTCGTTCGCCGTCAGAGCAGCTTCCACGCCTCCCGTCAAGGTCAGTCGCAACTTGGCACAGTAATCGTTTTGATCTCTTCTTGGATTAGCTTCTGCCGACCGGTAGTGTATGGAATAGCTTCTATCTCGTCACATGGATCCATGATCCGTCTGGTATCTTTTGCAGCAAGGAGCAGACAGACAGCTCTGGTTTGCCTCCAAGCAGTCCCTCACCTACTTGGACGGAAGGTAAAGCACAAGTAATATGAGTTCGCCCATGGATCATGAGCTCCCTCTTCACCGGAACTTAACTAACTTGTCGTGGTTGCAGCCTCCCCGGTGACTACGGCTTTGACCCCCTTGGCCTGTCGGACCCCGAAGGCACCGGAGGATTCATCGAGCCCAAATGGCTGGCCTACGGTGAGGTCATCAACGGGAGGTATGCCATGCTGGGGGCAGTAGGCGCCATCGCGCCCGAGATCTTCGGAAAGCTCGGGTGGATACCACCTGAGACCGCACTACCCTGGTTCAAGACTGGCGTCTTTCCACCGGCCGGCACTTACAACTACTGGGCAGACCCCTACACGCTGTTCGTGCTGGAGATGGCGCTCATGGGGTTCGCGGAGCACCGGAGATTCCAGGACTGGGCAAATCCAGGCTCCATGGGGAAGCAGTACTTCTTAGGTCTCGAGAAGTGGTTGGGGGGGTCGGGAAACCCTATATACCCTGGAGGACCTCTCTTCAACCCTCTCGGCTTTGGGAAGGACGAGAAGTCGATGAACGATCTGAAGCTGAAGGAGGTGAAGAATGGGAGGCTGGCCATGCTGGCCATCCTGGGCTACTTTGCGCAGGCGGCGTTGACCGGAGTTGGGCCGTTCCAGAACCTGTTGGATCACTTGGCCGACCCTGTGCACAACAACATCTTGACCAGCTTCAAGTTCCACTGAGGGTGCTGCAGCTCATCGTGACATGCTTTGTTGCCACAGATTTATCTATCCCTTGTAACATCCTATCCATATGAAAGGCATTTGTGACTGGATTAATATCATACATTATGTGGGTTTCACTGTTGGTCGAACGACATGTGTCTGTGCAGCGATCAGTAGCCAACCCCATCAACAATCACAGAACTCCCGTGTATCAAAAAACAATTCAACCGATCAACTTCTTACTTCTTGATATCCTTCAATATAAACAAGCAAAGAACAAGTACATATTGTATCAAAAACATTGCAAATTTCAATTGATTTTGATAAAAAAACCCAATTATCTGAAACAAATTCAGCCAGACATTATTGGAAACAAATTCACAGTATAACTAAAGCTCCTTCATACGACATCTGAAACATCATTTTACATTCTGCCTGATGCATATGGCCTTTCCTCCCCTTTGAGAGAGAGATGAAAATCCAAAAAGTGAGTGAGCATTGCATTGCCGAAAAGGATAAGCGATGCAATGGTCACTTGAACGGAGGAAGTATCCTCCTCCTACGCTTGGGAGTCTCTCTCTTCACGTACATCTTTTCCATTTCATTCAGAGCACGGCTTGATCCATCAGGCAAGCTAACAAATTTAAAACCACCACCACTACCACGTTTATCACGGACACCTAACTTCTCGACAGTAAAGCTCCAGCCATCTGATGGCCGCCGCCTGCTATATTTGTGGAATTTTACCTCCCCAGCAACCTGGTGGAAGAAAAACAAAAGGGCAAAAGTTTTACTAGTAAACGAGTCATGCAGGTCCTATACAGAAGAATAAACAGCATATAAGCCATGCATGAGCCTGCTGATCCATTTAAAAAGACAGCTTCACTGTATTAAGCCTATCAGGGGCATATAATGTCGTTCCCTTCTTAGATTCTAATTTTTTGACAGAAGCCAAGAAAGGTAACAAAGAATTATCGAGCACAAATGTAATAGTCAATAGCAAAATAGGCTGTCAGAAGAAACAAGCATCAAAATTTCAAAACTTGGCATGAATTGTTACAGTGCCTAACCAGTCCCGACTTATACAAATCTTCAGTTTTCAAATGATACCTAAGCATGATGTCCATCCACATTCTCCAAATCATGATGTGCATATACAGTAATTCCAATAAATGATACCTAAGCATGATGTGCATCCACATTCTCCAAATCACTGTTATGAATTCCACTCTACATATCTAAACTAAATACAAAAGCAGTTAGGTACCATGGAGATCTGCCATTGACAGCATTCAATACTATGACATCGGGGAACATAATTACGACAGAAAAGGAAACAGAGAGATGCAAGTCCGATCTATCCAGTGAAAAATGATCCACTAACAAATTAATGCACAATGTAAGTGTTTTCTAAACATTGCAACCAAGATCATGAAAGAAGAAATATTAGATGAGTAATGGCCAAAATAGCAATCCAAAATCATCAGCTAACCTAGGAGGTGCCATGTATCTCGGCAAGTACAATGTTAAATTTAACCAGTGAAAACACAATCTCCGTTCGATGTTAGAAATGATCAATTATCTTTTCTAATGATTGCATTAAAATGCATCTTTTTTGGTGCATTAAGAAGAAATAATAACAGTAAGTCAGATAACTTACTTTTTTCTTATTGAAATTTAGTTTTTGTACAAATTCTTCATACAGCATTTGATCTTCCTTCACCGAGATTTCATAAAGAACTTCGTCACGATCTCTTGTGGTGCCATCCCAGTCCTCAGGCATGATCTTGAAGTCAGGTTTGTACGGAAGAGAGGCGACATGAAATTCCCTATCATGGGAATTGAAAAACCTGCAAGTGAACAGAAATGATGCGTTAAATCCGCAACAATACAAAGGTTGATTTCAGTTCTTTTGTAAGTTAACCTTAATGACAATTTGACCAAATTAAATTAACCCATTAAAGGTATATAATATTTTTTCTAAAATTTGGCAAGGAAATCAATTAAATTCAGTTTAGCCTATCCCTGCTCTATAGTGGAGCAATTCAAATTAACACCAAAGCAAGAAAAAGGCAAGATATCCAAAATCAAAATTATGTAACATGTCATATTGATGTCAAATATTCAAGAGTAGCAATTCCATGCAATGCCAGTGCAGTAGAAAATTTCCAAATATTATACACTTTAAAAAATTAAGACAAACCAATATTACCCAACAAATTACAACATGGACCATAACAAAGTTTCGCAAAGTGTTGCACACGGTTATGAACTAATTTATCAAAGTTGCATCAATCAGCTAATTTTACACTGAATAACAGAACTGCATAATATATAAAGAAAAGCAATTTGTTATTCAACATTATAAGCTTCCGCTGGGCTAGATGAAAGAAGTAACCAAGCACATAAGACAGGGAGCAAATGGGCGATAAAATATAAAGAAAAGAGTCTCTTTCCCTTTTACTTCCATGCTATAAACTTCATCATCAGGCCTCACTGATAGATGCCCCTTAAAAAATTAAGACAAGTAAATATTTCTCAAGTAATTACAATATGAACCATAACAAAGGTTTGTGAGTACCGCTGTATGCAGTTATGTACTAATGTATGTAAGTTGCATCAATAAGCTCATTATATACTGATATCAGATCTCTATGAGATATGAAGAAAATAAATTTGTTGCTCAACAGAAAAAACTTCCACTTTGCTAGATGAAAGAAGAAAACAAGCGCATATGACAGGAAGTAAATGGGACATAAAACATAGAGAAGAGAAGAGCCGCTAGCCCTTTTACTTTCATGCTATAAATTTCACCATTGAGACTTGCTAATAGATGCCCCTTCTCTTTCCCAATTAGACTGAATAACACCTATTTCTACTCTTATAAGGACTATATCATTGGGAAGCTTGCTAAAGTGTCTTGCAATCAATCAGTCCACTTTGCCATATTTCTCAATCACTATGAGCATATCAGTTATTAACAATATGTTCCTTTTCCTTTCTAAATACATATCCTAACAATATTTTTAAGAAGTTCCAAACTTAATGACATCACATTTGGAATGTGAGATAGATCATGTTGGAGAGCTGCAAGCCTCCAACTCCTGTACAATTTTTTTTGCACTTTCTAACTTAAATGCCTAGTTTCAAAATTTTCAGGTCTGACCACTTTATAATACGATACTAATAACTGTTTATTTTCAAGGGGTTGCTTGCTCACCCTATGCTTTCTTAAAAAGTCCTGTTCAGACTGATGCAGTCAACCAGGTGCAATTAAATAGTGTTGACTCAATTAGATTCCTACAGCAAAATATAAAAAACATTTGTGTTTTACCTATTCAACAAATTCGATTGATTGATACAACTTGATTTTTTGTTCGATGAATCAACGAAACAATATATAGACTAATAGCTGCTTCAGCGGCTGCAATGGCTATAATAAAGATTGAGAAATTGTTTTTCTTTAATTGGCAACCATCAAATATATCAGAAAATGTTACAAGATTGATATTAACCAAATTTAGCATAAGCTCAAGACACATAAGTGCTATCATCTATTTCCCCCTTTGATGTATTATCTCTCACTTACATAATAAATAGCATCATAGGGTTTTGTCATCACCACGAGGTAACCTATGAAAAATTAATTTTGCAAAGGTCATAATATACGGAGAATCAAACAGCTATCGCCATTTCATCTAACAAATCAACTACTAAGCACTTCTTTTTAATCCTATCCGATGCTAAGCTCAAATATTCAAAGGTAGAAAACAATGGCTTAAATTAAAAGAAACATGGATTAAGGAAACATTTAAAAAAAAGCTTTTTTTTCCTTCTTTCATTTTTCACTTACTCGGGGAAGTTGTCCAGCAAGATCTCGACCGAGTCATCCAATGGTTTCCCACGCTTCTTTTCCTCCTCCTCCTCCATCTCTTTCAGCCACAGGATGGCGTGCACCCTCTGCCGCATGATCCGGTAATCCTTCGCCAGTCTTTCCACCGTGTACACCTCCGGGTTCTCCTTATGGAGCCGGTACATCTCCGCTTTCTCTGAATCTTTAAGGTATGACCCCCTGACCCCGGGCTCCCTCACCTGCTTCAGGAGATGGTACGTCTCCATCAACCGCTCCCTCCACCCATTCACGAACGCCTTGCTCTCCTTGTTGTCCTTCTCAAGCATTCGCAAGATCTCATCTTCGTCGTCCATCGCCTTCGCCTGCGCCTTCAGCTCGCTCGTCGGCGAGACCTGGCGGCCGACGGCCTCCCCATCGAAATGTTCCTTCGTCAACCCCGTTGACCAGGAAGACGCCTCTCCCCAGTCGAGGCCGCCGGAGGAGGAAGAAGAGGAGGATTGGGGCTGGTCGGAACCACCCCAGGGATCCTTGGTCTCCCCCTCTCCGCCGCCTCCAGACTCGCCGAAGCCGGAGGAGGAGGAGGAGAGGGAACGAAGCCTCGTGGAGAGGAGAGCGATCGATCCGAATGGGACGTTTGGATCGGTGGATCGAGGAGGAAGCGGGGAGGATCTGACGAGGGAGACGAGGTGACGGGGCAGGCGGCGACGGAAGAGGAGTGAGCGTGTCGACGACAACATCTCGAGTGGGGTGGGAATGAGACTATTAGGTTTTCTTGTAGCTACAGAGCTTTTCTTCTTCCGCCATCGAAGACGGGGGTACCTTCAGCTTCTAGGGTTTATAGAAGTTCCCCGGATGGGTGCGGATCCCCTCCAATGATACCTTTAATTCAAACCCTACAATTCCTGCGTCACGTCTGTTCGTCACTGTGGGTCCCATCGCTGGGCTGAAACACAATCGATCCGTCCATATCATATCGCATGGCTGATATATATATATATATATATATATATATATATATATATATATATATATATATATA